TGTTTACAGGTTTCCTCTGGATACCGTTGGGTTCCTCCTCTGATGACGGGAAATGTTTCCTCACAAACACAAAAACAAATTGGACAAAACGATTTACAGCTCATCCTTTCACGTTTCATTTAGTCTCATTTATAGATCTGAACCCACAAGTTTATTTCAACAAGATTTACCTTCAGTTCACTTCTGTTCACATAAATTCACTCCACTCTATTCACTTCACTCCACTCTATTCACTCCACTCTATTCACTTCACTCCACTCTATTCACTTCTGTCCACTCTATTCACGTCACTCCACTCTATTCACTTCTGTCCACTCTATTCACTTCTGTCCACTCTATTCACGTCACTCCACTCTATTCACTTCTGTCCACTCTATTCACTTCTGTCCACTCTATTCACGTCACTCCACTCTATTCACTTCACTCCACTCTATTCACTCCACTCTATTCACTTCTGTCCACTCTATTCACTTCTGTCCACTCTATTCACTTCTGTCCACTCTATTCACGTCACTCCACTCTATTCACTTCACTCCACTCTATTCACTTCTGTCCACTCTATTCACTTCTGTCCACTCTATTCACTTCACTCCACTCTATTCACTTCACTCCACTCTATTCACGTCACTCCACTCTATTCACTTCACTCCACTCTATTCACTTCACTCCACTCTATTCACTTCACTCCACTCTATTCACTTCTGTCCACTCGTCATCATAACCACATTAGGGTAATTCTCTTTACATACAAACACAAAAAATGGATAAAATCATATCTTAGTGACAGACAGCAGGGTGTAATYGTTAAAAACGTGACATCTCCTTTAAAAGCATGTAATATGGGGTACCACAGGGCTCAAATTTAGGGCCACTGCTCTTCTCTGCACGTAGAGGGAAGATCATTAATGTAAACAATGTAAACATAGTTATGTACACTGATGATACTGTAGTACTGTATATTACCATGGTAAAACCACAGAACAGGTTGGTCAAAAGCTAACAGAAGAACTGCAGAAGGTGTCTATATGGTTTAAAAATTCCTGTTTAACTTTAAACATTGAAAAGACTGTTTCAATGTTTTTCACAAATCGAGATAAGCTCCAAACTTGTCCTGATATTTTGATAGAAGCTCAGAAACTAAAAAAACGTTAGTGAATTCAAATATTTAGGTGTTTTATTGGAGCCAAATTTGGGCGTTAAAAACATAAAAAAGTTAATAAACACTGTAAAATTTAATTTAGTAAATTTTAGGTACATAAGAAACTCATTGATGATTGAGGTATCAAACATGTATTTAAATACATTGATAATTCCACATTTCCTGTATTTATGACAAGTTGGTCTCGGGGATGTAAAACTGCTTTACGGCCACTGGAGTCATTATATAAATGAGCTCTCTTTTGAGAACTTAATCAAATACACAAATATTTGTCTGCTTTTCAATATCATTCATGGTTCAGCTGCACCTCCCTTTAAAAAGTTTGTATCCCTTAACTCTGGGAAAACATCTAGAGTCACCTGTTCAACTATTCATGGTGAGTGTAGAGGTCCTAAATGTAAAACTTCTTTTGCTAAATCAGATTTTTCAAATGTTGCTATACAACAGTGGAATACTTTGCCAACAGAACCAGTGATATGTACAGACTTTCATAAATTTTCATGCRTGACAAAACAAATGGCTTCTCTTAAATCAAACCTGCTCTCATGTTGTAAACTGATCTGAGTGGAGTTTTTGTTTTAAGAGTATGTAGGTGATGACTTGTTGAAGAGTGATTTTGCTTTGGATATTGTAGGTATGTTTTATTGCCTGAAATGACTTTTATTGAGTGGTCAGTCTTTTTTAATGTGTTTTTTAATAAGTGGCATCTATGATGACATATTTTGGGAGCATGGATATGATGAATCGATTTTATATTGAATATGATTATATGCCTTTGTAATGTATATTTATGATGCCTTTTTAAATTGTTTTTTAATAGCACACACACACATATATAT